TTGGTACGGCGGGGAAGGGAAGGAGGGAGGAGGGAGAGGAGATACAGCAGCAGCTCAACACACAAGCCTGGCTGGAAGATGCTTCAACAAGAGGGGCCGGGAACAAGGCCAGGGATACGTGGGGGTCTCCTGACCAGGGAGGGCGATGAGACCGGCAAAGGGGGGGGGGGGGTCTACCGTAAGCTCCAAGGGTAACGGTGCCACCCCCCCGATAAAACATCCCGCCACCTGCCAATGCTATTAATAGGGAAGACATCGCAGGGCCGGAAATTTTCCCCCGAAAAAGGTGACAACCTTATGCACGGGTAGGTAAAATGAGGACAAGGGATGCAAAATGAGGACAAGGGTGGGGGAGGGGTTACAAAATTAATCAAAAATGATGATAAAATGATAACAAAAAGGGGGGCAGGGGACAACCAAAAAAAAAAAAAAAAACTGGTGCAAATTTTCCCGCATCCTGTCCGCACTCCAAGCACTAAATCAACTGCATCCAGCCACACCGTCTAGCAGATGCCAGGAGCCAATGGCAGGGCTGTCGGCTTTCCAGGAGACCCGTGATTGGCCGAGAGGAAGAGCCCCTTGGGAGAGAGGGACTGAGATAGAATAAATGGAAGAAGAAGAGCCCCCCCCCTTTTCCCTCCCTCCCCACCTTCCCCAGCTGTGTGACTTCAGGTCTGCAACCAGCATCCACTCCAACACACATTATACATAATTCACATACGGCAAGCCGGCTGCAACTTGTACCCAAGACCCCCCCCCTCATCACCCCGGGACCCCCCTGGCATGTTGTACCCCCATGCCAACACTCTTTAAGAAGCTGCAGCCTACCCCATAGACCCCCAACCAACCAATTGTAATCCTAAAGCCCCCCCCCCCCCCCCAAAAAAAAGGTTCCTTCGCCGCTTCGTGGGGTCCTCAGGATGGCTACACCGACTGAAAGAAGTGGAGCAGGTAGGGAGCCTTGCCTGATTGACAATTTTTACACCTTTGGGGGGGGGGGGGGGGGGGGGGGGGACCTGGTCTGCATGGATCTGCAATGTCTGTTTTGGGTGTGCATGGGGGCCCTTTAAATGTCACATGGCTGCAGGGCTGGAGGGGTTAAAAATGAATTCCGCAGCTGCTAAATGATTTACTGAGCAAGAACCGGATCAGCATAATGGGTCATGTAAAGTCAAGGAGATGAAACTGATTAGGGGCCCTTAACGGTTTTCTTAAGGAGGGGCCCCCAACTTTAAAAGACGTTCTGCAGGGAAGTAGAAGAAGTGGCTTGCCGCAGCCAGCCTTAAAGGCACCCCACCCCCTTCGTCACTATCTATACTGCAGGTGCAATGCAGTCCTCGGCTTCCCAGCATCCAGTCCTTCAGTCCTCCGGTCCTCCAGTCCTCCTCCACTCACTATACTGCTCTCAGAGGTTCATTCAGACCAGGCAGGTTGTCACACCAGACTGAGGATGACCCTCCAGGATGAAGGAGAAGGACTCCCAGCACTGCAGAAGACAGTCATACCTGCAGACCAGCATGTCACCCCCACTCCTCCCCCCCCCCCCCACATCCATTTAAAGTTGTGCACAGCAATTACCCCGCGTTAACCCCCGCTGGATGGGGGAAATGATTGACAGTGTCATTGGGCGTTGGGGTGAGCAGAGCTCCTGAGTGAGGAGGGCGGAGGAGAGTGATGGAATTTGGGTGGAGATGAAGAATGAGGCTGTGTTCTGCATTCACTGCAGAGAGACATTTGGGAGGGGGGGGGGGGGGGGGGGGGGAATCTGTCCTGAGATGTGTGCAGGATCAAGGTGAGACTCCCAACTACAAACATTTCTATTTTTATTGGAAGCTACGAATAGTGAAACCTGATAGAGAGACAGAAAATTGAGAAACAGAGAGAGAGAGAGAGAGAGGGAGGGGGGTAGAGAGAGGGGGGGAGAGAGGTGGAGGGGGGGAGAGAGAGAGAGAGGGGGGTAGAGAGAGAGGGGGGGAGAGAGGTGGAGGGGGGAGAGAGAGAGGGAAAGAGAGAGGGAGAGAGGGAAAGAGGGGGGAGAGAGGGAAAGAGGGGAGAGAGGAAAAGAGGGGGAGAGGGAGAGAGGGGAGGGGGGGGAGAGGGAGAGGGGGGGGGGGAGAGAGAGGGGAGAGAGAGAGAGGGGGGGGGGGGAGGAGAGAGAGAGGGGGGGTGGGCGAGGGAGAGGGGATAAGGAGAGAGAGAGAGAGAGAGAGAGGGAGAGAGAGAGAGAGAAGGCGAGAGAGAGAGGAGATAGAGGAGAGGAGAAGAGCGAGAGAGAGAAAAGACGAGAGACGAGAGAAAGATAAGGACAAGAGAGAGAGAGAGAAAAGCGAGAGAGAGAAAAGAAAAGACGAGAGAGAGAGAGAGAAAAAGAAGACGAGAGAGAGAGAGAGAGAGAGAGAGAAAAGACGAGAGAGAGAGAGAGAAAAGACGAGAGAGAGAGAGAGGGAAGGCGAGAGAGAGAAGCGAGAGAGAGAAGGTAGAGCGAGAGAGAGAGAAGGCGAGAGAGATGGAAGGAGAGAGAGGAGAGAGAAGGGGAGAGAGAGGAGGAGAAAAAGGAAAGAGAGAGAAAAGAGGAGAGAGAGAAGAGAGAGAAAATAGAACAGGAGAGAACGAGAAAGAAGAAAAGAGAGAGAGAACAGACAGGAGAGAGAAAGAGAGAAAGAGAAAAGAGAGGGGAAAAGAAGAAAGGGAAGGACAGAGTGAAGTGATAGAAAGGAAAGATAGAAGGAGATAGAGGGAAAAAGTAAAAAAAGAGAGAGTGCAGGAGAGAGACGAGTGATAGAGAAAGAGAGAGGAAAGGGAGAGAAAAAGGGAGAGGAAAAAAGAAAAAAAAAAAGAGAAAGAAAAATAGATCTGATTGATCCTGGGCACTAATGAAGGATTCTCTATGAATTGACATGTACATTGAAAGCCACAGATGACGGAGCGTTGCTATGCACAATGGCGGTGATTCCAATGATCATTATTACACGGGATTTATATATATATATTATATAGCGCCAAGAGCACACGTAGCAAACACAGAGCTGTGCGCCCAGCCAATGGCAATAAGGCCCCCACCTCGGAGCTCTCCTTAAAACGCTTTTCACCTGGCTGCCACTTCTTCTGTACCCATTAACTCCCTGCCCAGACCAAGTATGTAGATGAGGAGAGGAGGATCGCTGGGAGTCAGTGACTGCAGACAACAGATTAGACCACCATTAATGATCATAAATTGAATAAAATCAACACTGAGGACAGAGATTGGTCAAGAAAAATCATCCAGTCTCCCAGGCCCAGTCATGTGATCCTAGTCTCCCCAGACCAGCCCAGTCATGTTGATCCTAGCCTTTCTGGACCATTTCTGTCATGTTGATCTTCGCCTCCCCAGACCAGCCCTGTCATGTTGATCCTGGCCTACTTGGCCCATGCCCGTCATGTTGATCCTAGCCTTCCTGGACCAGCAACATCATGTTGATCCTAGCCTTCCTGGACCAGCCCTGTCATATTGATCCAAGGCTTCCTGGACCATGTTTGTCATGTTGATCCTAGCCTTCCTGGACCAGCCCCATCATGTTGATCCTGGCCTATTCTGACCAGCGCAGTCATGTTGATTCTAGCCTTCTTGGACCAGCCCTGTCATATTGATCCTAGCTTTCTTGGACCAGCCCTGTCATGTTGATCCTAGCCTTCCTGGACCAGCCCTGTCATATTGATCCTAGCTTTCCTGGACCAGCCCTGTCATGTTGATCCTAGCCTTCCTGGACCAGCCCTGTCATATTGATCCTAACTTTCCTGGACCAGCCCTGTCATGTTGATCCTAGCCTTCCTGGACCAGCCCTGTCATATTGATCCTAGCTTTCCTGGACCAGCCCTGTCATGTTGATCCTAGCCTTCCTGGACCAGCCCTGTCATATTGATCCTAACCTTCCTGGACCATCCCTGTCATATTGATCCTAGCCTTCCTGGACCAGCCCTGTCATATTGATCCTAGCCTTCCTGGACCAGCCCTGTCATGTTGATCCTGGCCTTCCAGAAACAGCTATCATGTAGTGTCAATGTCGAATGGCAGGCACCTATGATGAAAGGTTAATGGATGATGATAAGTGTCAGGGGCCAGTGGGACTACTACTACGGTTTGGGGGGAGATGATAAAGGTCAGGGGTCATTGCTGGAGGTCAGGGTCCGATGAAACACTCAGGGATAAATAAAAGGCTCAGAGAAAGATAAAGGTTAGGGATCGATGAGAAAAGGTCGGGGGGCGATATTAAAGATCAGCCCAATCATATCGCTGCACACAATTTGCACCAACTGCTGGCAGCAGAATTTCTATATATAGAGAATTATTGGAATTACATAATATATATAAACCCTGATGAAAGGGGGTACGTGGATCCCCAAAAAATGTGTCGGCTTTCTTGTTCTACCAATCAGCAGATTAACAACCTTTTTTGGACTTTGACCATCTGTGCAGCACATGGGTGCTTCTTTGTAGATGGCCCCCAACTCCCTTCCTCCCTGGGGGGGGGGGGGGGGGAATTCTGGTACAGGTCAGCAACCGCATTACAATTGATGTGATTGATTGATGAGCCGGTTTTCCACAACAATGCATATTAATAATAGGGAATCTAGTGCCTCCTATGCATGTAACCAGAGATCAATAAACCAGGTCAATATAAAAGGTCAGGGACTGAGAAGAAAGGTCAGGGACCACTGTTCATTGCTAGTCCAGCATTCCTGGGTTATGGAGAATTCTGCATTGTCACCATATTAGTGAAGCAGTGACTTGCACAGGGAATTCTATCTGCGGAATTCTCCTGAATGAAGAATTGAGCTGTCACTGGTTAGGTCTCCCCCCTGGGTCTCCACATGGAATCTCGGAAAGAGAATCTCAGGAGTATGACTGATGGTGTTCTCCAGTGCCGGCTCCTCCTGGCTGCTGTGTGTGTCATACAGGACTTGGGCTATGCAGCTGTTCCATGGATGCAGCAATAATGAGTAGACCGAAACAGGCCACTGACCTATAAACAGGCCGGGTAGAAGCTGTTCTTAAAGATCTGCCAAACTAGCTTGCTGCTCCTAATCTTTAGGATGAGCAGTGACCCCCTACGCTCCCAATCCCGGGACTGGTTAGTGTCCCAGTACCGCTCCCAATCCCCAGGCTGGTTAGTGTCCCAGTACCGCTCCCAATCCCGGGGCTCGTTAGTGTCCCAGTACCGCTCCCAATCCCCAGGCTGGTTAGTGTCCCAGTACCGCTCCCAATCCCAAGGCTGGTTAGTGTCCCAGTACCGCTCCCAATCCCCAGGTTGGTTAGTGTCCCAGTGCCGCTCCCAATCCCGTGACTGGTTAGTGTCCCAGTGCTGCTCCCAATCCCCGGGCTGGTTAGTGTCCCAGTGCCGCTCCCAATCCCCGGCCTGGTTAGTGTCCCAGTGCCGCTCCCAATCCCCGGGCTGGTTAGTGTCCCAGTGCCGCTCCCAATCCCGGGGCTCGTTAGTGTCCCAATGCCGCTCCCAATCCCGGGGCTGGTTAGTGTCCCAGTGCCGCTCCCAATCCCGGGACTTGTTAGTGTCCCAGTGCCGCTCCCAATCCTAGAACTGGTCAGTGTCCCAGTGCCGTTCCTAATTCACGGGCTGGTTAGTGTCCCAGTGCCGCTCCCAATCCTAAAACTGGTTAGTGTCCCAGTGCCGCTCTCAATCCCAGGACTGGTTAGTGTCCCAGTGCCGCTCCCAATCCCCGGGCTGGTTAGTGTCCCAGTGCCTCTCCCAATCCCCGGGCTGGTTAGTGTGCCAGTGCTGCTCCCAATCCTAGAACTGGTTAGTGTCCCAGTGCCGCTCTCAATCCCAGGACTGGTTAGTGTCCCAGTGCCGCTCCCAATCCCCGGGCTGGTTAGTGTCCCAGTGCTGCTCCCAATCCTAGAACTGGTTAGTGTCCCAGTGCCGCTCTCAATCCCAGGACTGGTTAGTGTCCCAGTGCCTTTCCCAATCCCCGGGCTGGTTAGTGTCCCGGTGCTGCTCCCAATCTCTGGGTTTGTTAGTGTCCCAGTGCTGCTCCCAATCCCCAAGCTGGTCAGTGTCCCAGTGCCGCTCTCAATCCCAGGACTGGTTAGTGTCCCAGTGCCGCTCCCAATCCCCGGGCTGGTTAGTGTCCCAGTGCCGCTCCCAATCCTAGAACTGGTTAGTGTCCCAGTGCCGCTCCCAATCCCCAGGCTGGTTAGTATCCCAGTGCTGCTCCCAATCCCCAGGCTGGTTAGTGTCCCAATGCCGCTCCCAATCCCCGGGATGGTTAGTGTCCCAATGCCCGCGCCCAATTCCCAGACTGGTTAGTGTCCCAGTGCCGCTCCCAATCCCCGGACTGGTTAGTGTCCCAGTGCCTTCCCAATCCCCAGGCTGGTTAGTTAGTGTCCCAGCGCCGCTCCCAATCCCCGGGCTGGTTAGTGTCCCAGTGCCTCTCCCAATTCCCAGGCTGGTCAGTGTCCCAGTGCCGCAACCAGTTCTCGGGCTGGTTAGTGTCCCAGTGCCGCTCCCAATCCCCGGGCTGGTTAGTGTCCCAGTGCCGCGCCCAATTCCCGGGCTGGTTAGTGTCCCAGTGCCGCTCCCAATCCCTGGGCTGGTCAGTGTCCCAGTGCCGCTGCCAATCCCTGGGCTGGTCAGTGTCCCAAGACTACTCCCAATCCCTGGGCTGGTTAGAGTTCCAGGATTTCTCCCAATCCCTGGGCTGGTTAGTGCCCCAGGACTGCTCCCAATCTATGGGTTGATCAGTGACCTGATACTACACCCAATATCTGAGCTGGTCATTGACCCCGTATTATTCCTATTCTCTGAGATGATCATTGACCCGGTACTGCTCCCAATCTCTGGGTTGGTCAGTGACTCGATATTGCTCTCAAACTCCAGGCTGGTGAGTGCCGGAGTACTGCTCCCACTCTCCGAATCATTCATTGACCCGTTGTACACTATATGCAGGCTAGTCATTGACCTGATACTACTCCTAACCTATGAGATTATTAGTGACCCAGTACTGCTCTAAATCCTCAACTAATCTGTGACCTAGTACCGCTCCCAATCTCTATGTTGGTCAGCTATAAAGTACTGCTCCCAATCTCAGGGCTGGTCAGTGACCCGATAGTGGTCCAAAATACAGGCTAGTCAGTGACCAGGGATTGACCAGCAAATTTTGGCCCAGGGAGAACAATCCACAGACCCATGGTGCAGTGACTCGTCCCCCCTCCTGCTCTCCCTCTTCCCTGCCTCCTCCTGACCCCATCCCAGGCTGAAGCTCTACTCTCTGCTCACCAAGTAGGTCAGCTGGACAGCACCGGTTGCATTAACCCCGGGTTTCCGAACTGGCCAGCCGGGGTGGCTCAGTCTAGGTTGGCCAGAGGAGGAAAGCCTCTGGTGGAGCACAGAGCCAACCTCTGCGTGGACAAGGCCTACACCATCTATGCCAGGGGGGCAGCATGTGCCCTGTCCTCATCCTCATCTCACACTTGGTCAGATACTGATGGGGACTTTTAACTCCTCTTCACCAGGAAGCCTCTGTGGCAGAAGTGATGAGGCCTTTTTATGGGGCATCAAAGTGGCCCAAGCGAGAAATTTCCTCCTCCTGCCCCCCAGCCCAGTTTACAACTATCAGTGATCCAGTAATAATCCCAATTTCTGGGCCAATCAGTGACCCATTTGTGCTCCCAATCTCTGGGCTGATCAGAAACCTAGTACAGCTCCCAATCTCCAGGTCAGTCAGTGACCCCATATTACACCCAATCTCTGGGCTGGTGATTGACCTGGTACTATTCCTAATCCCTGACATGATCAGTGACCCAATACTGTTCTAAATCTCCAGCTAGTCTGTGACCCAGTACTGCTTTCAATCTCCAGGTTGGTCAGCTATCGAGTACTACTCTCAATCGCATGACTGGTCCAATGTCCTGGTTTGTTAGTGATCCAGTACTTCTCCCAGTTTCAGAGCCGATCTATACCCCATTACTTCTCCCAATCTCCGGGCTGATCAGTATCCTAGTATTGCTCCCAGTCTCCGGGCTGGTCATTGACCCGATACTACTCCTAATCTCTGAAATGATCAGTGACCCAGTACTGCTCTCATCCCCACCTGGTCTGGGACCTAATCAGGGGCGGACTGACAACTCATGGGGCCCCCGGGCAATAGGGGATCATGGGGCCCGTGTCCTTGTCCAAACTCAAAAAAGCCTATGAAAAAGGTACCAGGGGCATCGCATGGGGCCCCCCTACTGACCCCGGGCCCTCGGGCAATGCCCGAGTTTCCAAACGGTCAGTCCGCCCCTGGACTTAATACAACTTCCAATCTCCAGGTTGGTCAGCTACTGAGCACTGCTCTCAATCTCATGGCTGGTCAGGGACCAAGGGACTGGTCCAATATTCAAGCTGGTTTGTGGCTCAGTACTGCTATTAATTTTTGGGCCAGTCAGTGCCCCATTGCTGCTCCCAATCTCTGGGCTGATCAGTGACCTACTACTGCTCCCAATCTCCAGGCCAGTCAGTGACCAGATACTAAAACACAATCTCAGGGCTGGTCAGTGACTCAGTACTGATCCCAATATCTGGGCCGATCAGTGCCCCATTAGTACTCCCAATCTCTGGGCTGATCAATGACCCAGGTACTGCTCCCAATCTCCGGGCTGATCAATGACCCAGGTACTGCTCCCAATCTCTGGGCTGATCAGTAACCTACTACTGCTCCCAATCTCCAGGCCAGTCAGTGCCCCACTGCTACTCCCAATCTCTGGGCTGATCAATGACCTGGGTACCGCTCCCAATCTCCGGGCCAGTCAGTGACCAGATACTAAACACAATCTCAGGGCTGGTCAGTGACTCAGTACTGCTCCCAATCTCCCGGGCTGATCAGTGCCCCATTAGTACTCCCAATCTGATCAATGACCTGGGTACTGTTCCAAATCTCCGGGCTGATCAGTGCCCCATTAGTACTCCCCAATCTGATCAATGACCCAGGTACTGCTCCCAATCTTTGGGCTGATCAATGACCTGGGTACTGTTCCCAATCTCCGGGCTGATCAGTGCCCCATTAGTACTCCCAATCTGATCAATGATCTGGGTACTGTTCCCAATCTCTGGGCTGATCAGTGCCTCATTAGTATTCCCAATCTGATCAATGACCTGGGTACTGTTCCCAATCTCCAGGCTGATCAGTGCCTCATTAGTACTCCCAATCTGATCATTGACCTGGGTACTGTTCCCAATCTCCGGGCTGATCAGTGCCCCATTAGTACTCCCAATCTGATCAATGACCCAAGTACTGCTCCCAACCTCCGGACTGATACTGCTCCCAAACTTTGGACTGGTCAGTGACCTGGTACCGGATTCATTTGTTTTGACTTCTTCTGTGCCGTTTGTCAGTCATGCAGCAGTTCACCAAGGTCTGCCCCGTTCGGCCATGTATGTAAAAGCTTCCGAATCTACACAATGAAAGGGGTGACACTTACAGAAGGCATTGGGAATTCGTTGTCACCCTTGGATTACTCAGCAATAGGCAGGAGTGGAGTGATTTGTGCAAAACTGATTTTGCTAAATTGTGGAAAGTTGGAAAAAAATTGAGAATCTCAACTTCGCTCATTAAGCTGCTGAGGGAAATGTGATTGGAAAGTTTTTTTTTTTTTTCTTAGATGTATTTGTGTGTCCATGTTAGTAGGAAAGGTGTATTTGAAGTGTTACTAAACCCACAACAGTACAATCCTTCTGTAGATGCAGGAAAGCATGCTTGTTATACTCACTGTGGAATGTAAGGGGGTAATCCTCCGCGGGGTCCAGGGAGAGCGGATATAGTGAATGCGGGGTCCGGGGAGAGTGGATATAGTGAATGCGGGGTCCGGGGAGAGCAGATATAGTGAATGCGGGGTCCGGGGAGAGCAGATATAGTGAATGCGGGGTCCGGGGAGAGCGGATATAGTGAATGCGGGGTCCGGGGGAGAGCGGATATAGTGAATGCGGGGTCCGGGGAGAGCGGATATAGTGAATGCGGGGTCCGGGGAGAGCGGATATAGTGAATGCGGGGTCCGGGGGAGAGCGGATATAGTGAATGCGGGGTCCGGGGAGACCGGATATAGTGAATGCGGGGTCCGGGGGTCCGGGGAGAGCGAATATAGTGAATGCGGGGTCCGGGGAGAGCGGATATAGTGAATGCGGGGTCCGGGGAGAGCGGATATAGTGAATGCGGGGTCCGGGGAGAGCGGATATAGTGAATGCGGGGTCCGGGGAGACCGGATATAGTGAATGCGGGGTCCGGGGAGACCGGATATAGTGAATGCGGGGTCCGGGGGAGAGCGGATATAGTGAATGCGGATATAGTGAATGCGGGGAGAGAGGATATAGTGAATGCGGGGTCCGGGGAGAGAGGATATAGTGAATGCGGGGTCCGGGGAGAGCGGATACAGTGAACGCGGGGTCCGGGGAGAGTGGATATAGTGAACGCGGGGTCCGGTGGGAGGGGAGAGCGGATATAGCGAAGAACGCGGGGTCCGGGGAGAGCGGATATAGCGAACGCGGGGTCCGGGGAGAGCGGATATAGCGAATGCGGGTCCGGGAGAGCGGATATAGCGAATGCGGGGTCCGGGGAGAGCGGATATAGTGAATGCGGGGTCCGGGGAGAGCGGATATAGCGAATGCGGGGTCCGGGGAGAGCGGATATAGTGAATGCGGGGTCCGGGGAGAGCGGATTTAGTGAATGCGGGGTCCGGGGAGAGCGGATATATAGTGAATGCGGGGTCCGGGGAGAGAGGATATAGTGAATGCGGAGTCCGGGGAGAGCGGATATAGTGAATGCGGGGTCCTACGTTTAGTAACACTTCAAGGGAGTTTAGTTTTGCCGGGGGTCTTGGATTTCCAGCAGGATAAATTCCCTTGTATATGAGGTCTAGTAGCGGGTGGAGGCAGGGAGGAGCTTACAGGGTCAGGCCCGACTGGGTCATCAGGGGGCCCCGCTTTGACTTGGAAGCAGGAGGAGTCCCCTTGTAGATGAGGTCTGGGAAGGACAGTCCTGTTCCCAACCTACTGATGACAGGCGGAGAGGAACGTCTAGGATTAGTAGAGGCCAAGGGCAGCAGGGTACCCCATTAGGTAGGCTGTATGGGGCTCCATGATTTCTGTGGCCAGTCCTGTGCATTATGTATATAATTTTTTATTTTGCCTGCTAGAAGTTTATGATCTGACCCGGCATACCTTACAAACATTTACCAACTATCGGTGCCAAACTCCTTGGTAACAATGCTTCCTCACCAAAAAGCCAAGTCCAGGTCCGGTCATGGGGCTTCACAGAAGCATGGACAGCAGGAGGTGTAGACCTGACCGGCACCTCCAATGAAGTGAAGAAGACGACTAGAGCAGGTCAGGTCAGGAGGTTGGAGTCTTCCAGATCTGCATGGCTTCCAATAACCAGCCGACGTCTCCGAGGATATTTTTTCCTCTTACCGGTCAGTCACCTAGCAACTGTTCTGGATCTCATATTCACGAATATAGCTTTCCGCTCAATACCTCCAAATGTCTTTATTCAGAACGAGATTTTTGGAAGATTAGCTGCTCCTTCTCTACGCTTGGCTGAATCAAGAAGAAAGATGAGTGATGGCAGATCAAAGCTCAGGTCTGGTCCATGTGGGGAGCTCTCATTAAATCAAAGCTGTTCTTTTGTTTCCCCTGAAGGGCAATGTAACAGGTATGCTGGTTAGGCTACCCTTCCCTGCACCTCCCCGCTGCCCTGTTTTCCCTGCAGGAGCCCAGTGATATACCTGGTATTTTGGGGTATTGTGACGCATTCAACACCCTCCCCTTCCTACCATGATCCGGTATTTGGCGTATCGGCAAACTAAAAAAGTTCCTGACCCAAGCACTGTCATGTGGTGCAGGGGTCCTCAGCCTCGTAAGCTCTGACCCAGACCAACCCAGAGCCTTCACAGGTGTATGGTTTCAAATGCCACTATATACATTGACATACCTTCTTAGATCCAGTCTGTCCAAATGGTATGGTTACCTGCTGACTGGCCATCATCCACAGGCAGCTTAACTCTGCAAGAAGATATAGAACTTGATTTCAACACAAAGTTACTTCAGACAATTACAGTACAGAGTGTGTTTTTCCAGTCTTTTCAAGTGTACCCACAAGGAAGAAAAATTTTAAAAATATTCTTCCCAAATATATGGACATATATTTGAAATACTGCAAATTTGACCATATTATTATATATATATATATATATATAGATAATATATATATATATATATATATAGTATATATACACACACACAACACACATATATCATACACACACACACATATATATATCACACACACTACACAATATGTGTGTATCACACACACATATATATATACAACACACACATATATATATATACACTCACACATACATATATATATATATACACACACACAAACAACAAACACCATATATATATATATACACACACACATATAATATATACACACACACACACACAATATATATAAACATATATAATACACACACACACCAACACACACACATAACATAACCATATACACACACACACACAAATATACAACACACACACATATACCCTATATACCACACACAAACATATATATATACACCCTCACACACACACATAACATATAATAACACAAACACACACACAATATATATATAATAACACACACACACAATACATATAACACTACAATATATCACACAAACACACATAACCTAATAAACACAAACACATATATATATAACACCACACACATATACCACAAACACACACACACACATCATATATAACACACACACACACATATATATACACACACACACATAATATATATATACACACACACACACACAACAATAATACCCACAAACACACACCACACAAAAACCAATATATATATACACAACACACAATATATATATATACACACACACACAACAACAAAAAATATATACACACACACACATATATAAATACACACAAACACAACACACACACACACATATATATACACACACACACAAATATACACACACACACACACACAATATATACTACACACACACACACACACACATATATATATATACACACACACACAATATATATATATATAAAATATACACACAACACACACACATATATATATATACACACACACACATATATATATAATATATATACACACACAAAAAAATATATATATACAACACACACACACATATATATATATAACACACACCACACACACACAATATAATATATATATATACACACACACACAACATATATATATATATATATATACACACACACACACACACATATATAGTTACATAGTTAGTCTGGCTGAAAAAAAGACAAAAGTCCATCCAGTTCAACCATAGAAAAAAAAAAAAAAGTTATAATCCTACACCCAAGTTGATCCAAAGGAAGGCAAAAAAAAAACTCCAGCAAAGCATGGTCCATATACACACAAACACACACTTGTATGTTGAAATGCGTTTTTTATAGATTACAAAATATATGAAAAAATATTTTTAAAAATATGCTTTTTAAATATATTCTTCAGATTTTTCTTTTTAAACATATAAAAAAGTCATCAATTTAACATATATTTTCACATATATTTGTAAATACATTCAAAAAATGTAGATTAAATGTATGTTTTTTAAAAACATACATTTAATATATATTTTTGGAATGCATTTACAACTATATATGAAAATATTAGGTTAAAATGACTTTTTTAGATGTGAAAAAAAAAAATCTGTAGAATATATTTAATACATTTCAAAAAATTTTTATTTTTCATATATTTTTGCAATATATTAAAAAAAAATAAATATATATAAATCATACATACCACACACTACACACACACACACTTTAACAAAAAATATATATTTATTTATATATTATTTTATTGATTATGGACAAAATTGTAGCATTTCAAATAATATATCAATATATTTGGGAAGAATATTTTAAAAAAATAAAATCTGCAGAATATATTTAATACATTTTTAAAAATATTTTGTATATATTTTGTAATATATAAAAAATGCATATCAACATACAGTGTGTGTATATAAATATATAAATATAAAAATATATAAAACATACATAACAAATACATCACACACACACACACAACATATATATACACACACACACACACAATATACACAATACACCACACACACACACACACATATACATCACTAAACAGGAGGGGGGGGGGGGGGGACAGGGAAAGATACCAAAATGATATTATTACATACATTGCAGCTGCTCTGAACCACCATTAGACGTCAGTAAACTACAGAACAATAACAACCTCATGGAGTTCATACAATACATAAACATAAAAATCATGAAAGTGGGGTAGAACTACAAGGCTGAGGCATTATCAATAGCCACAAATGGGAGGAAAAACAACCAATTTACCATGAAAATTCCAAAGATTTCAGGATAGCCTAGATACTGAACCCTGGACAGATATGGAAGATATTATTTATGCAGCTCTGTAATCATTAATACATCATTACCTGTATTTTTTAATGTAAGCACCTTAAGTTGACTTGTTGCAGTCTCTGTACAGCCGAGCTCAGACTAGCAGAGAGAAGCAGCACAAGGAGCTAATCAGCTGTGCTGCTGTGATCCGCTGCTAACAATGGACATGCTGATAGGAGGAGAGAACAAAGTGAGAGCGAGACCAGCTTATCGGTCTGCTGCTACTCCTTTCACTGTCGAGTCACAGGCCGGGGGAGGGGCAGGTTTTGTCCCACATACAAAGTGCAGAATTTTCACAGGATCTCTCAGCTCTGAAAAGCAGGGGGCGGGGAGCTAAAGTTACATCAGTGAGGAGAGCTCTGAGAGTTGATTGGAGGCAGGGGTGGACTGACCATTTGAGCACTTGGGCACTGCCCAGGGGCTCAGGGTCAGTAGGGGGCCCCATGAAATGCCCTTGGTACCTTTTATAGGCTTTTTTGGGTGTCCTTTGAGTTTGGTCAAGGACACAGGGGCCCCATGATCCCCTATTGCCCGGGGGCCCCATGAGTTGTCAGTCCCCCCCTTATTGGAGGGACATGCCCCCCTCCACACAGCTCACAAGAACAGAGCTGAGGCTGTCAATCACAGGCTGGAGCTCCCTCCACTGTCACCATTTTTCTCTTGGTGTTGGGAAAACTTGTCAGAAGTGATTCATGCAGATAGCAGAGGAAGGAGGCAGCGGACAGAAATGACACTCAGTGCTCTGGACTGAGACAAGTACACACTGTAGAGGGATGTGTTTTGTTCATATTTCATATCTGAGGTTTACAACCACTTTTAAGGTTCATTCACAATCTTTACACTTGACGGAGCTGCTGATCTGTAACACGTCTGCACCAGCCAATCGCTGTCATCAGACGCCTGTGTTCACTTATTCATTTATAAGATAAGCATTTCTATTCCGGCCTGACCTTCAATCCCACCCACAAGGTCACACTGCTCCGCTGCCTACCACTCAATACTTCAGTATGGAGCGTCAATCCACCTCGAGAACGGAAGCAGACACACATCACGGATAGACCAGAGGCGGACCGCGTGGATACCCCCAGTGTGCCGCGTCAGGCCGATCACTCCAAATAGCCTGATGTGAAGTAAGGAGAAGCGAAGGATTTATGGGATGTCTGTCAGTCACATCATAACAAGGACGCCAATAAATGTGAAGAATTAAATGTAAAACAATTTAAGATAAAAGGATAGAAATCACAGGATGACCAACCCGATTAAAAGGACGACCAATGGACAGCGCCAATCATTGGCGAATAAAGATCTCTTCATCAGATGTGCCGCATGGAAAGATGCAAATGGAGCTGATGACGGCGTTCAGTGAGATGTATGAAAATTAATAGGAGAAAATCAAGATTAATGGAATCATAATAAATTTACAATGACTAATTAATGAGAGAAGGGGGGGGGAGGTGTGAAGGGGGGAGGGGGGAGGACGAGAGAGAGGGGGAGAGAGGGTTGAGACCGCGGAGAGAGGGGGAGAGAGGGGGGAGAGATGAGAGGATGAGAGAG